TGAAGAAGTCTCTTGGAGGAGAGACGAAACGTTTCACTAAAGAAGAACCCATCCAGAGGACCTACTTATTTTTTATTTATTTTTTTTTCTACCTGGATTACTGAGATGCATCAGGACAAAACATTTTTACACTTCAGTCAAGTTTAATCAAGGCCACAAGTTTTTTTTATTTGTTCAGAATCTAAAAAATTTTGGGAATTTAATTTTGTGATGGTTTGTTGTAAAAACAAGTATTCAAACATTATCTTATAAAATCCTGAACAAAAGACACTGGAGCACTGACTGAGCCTGTGTTCAGTGGAGGAATTACATCACTGTTACTCATCTGCCAGCTGGGCGTTACGTCACCTCAGTGTTCTTTGGCTGTAAATACAGCTGCAGAGAAAGTCAAGAAAGGTTTGTTGTTTTGTTTTTGCTGAGCTTTCCAGGGACAAAAATATCCCAGGACTACCCACTGACCCATGTCAGGATAGAAGGTAGTCATTAAAGGGGATATATCCTGCAAAATACACCTTTTTTAGCTGTTAGATACATTTAGTTGTGTACTTGGAGTCTCTGGGAGTGCAGAAAAATTTTAATATCTCTGCGTAGATATTTTTATATTCTGTTYGGGGCCTATTTCTCAACTCRTTCAGTTTTGTCCGACATTTTCTAATCTATTCTGTCAAATTGTTTGTGACTGAACTTATAAATAAGGTCTGGACTTACCAACTACAATTTGGTGGTTTCTCCTCTGGTTCTGGGTCAGACTCTGGTTGGATGGACATGTCTTCCCTTGTTGATATCTTTTAATTCATTTGTATAAAATAATTTCTGCGCAGCTATATAGTCATAAAGGTCAGTGTATCTTTTGGTAATTGGATTTTCATTTTGGAAACGGGTATTAAAAAGCAAGAAATGAGTGATTATTTGATTTTTGTTTTAAAACGTAGAAATTAAAGTCAAAATGCAAAGCGTTTCTCATACTTTGTGTCAAAAACAGATGAATGAAATTTTTTAAGTGACTTGAGTTTCATGTTCTGTTTCAGATAGCAAAAAAGAAAATTACTTTAAAACAGAATTGATAAAAGCCTTGTTTGTTCATATTCCACAACAGGTCGTGCCAACTTTATCCCTAAAATAATCTGTTTCACCACCAGAAGGGACACTCAAAGTATCAAAGTTATTCAATAAACATCCCATTACAAGTAAAAAGCATTGATACTGACTTCGATATTGAATATTTGCCAAGTATTTATTTGGTATCAGATCGATATCAAAGTCATAGTATCGCCCACCCCTCACTGAAAGGAAAACTCAGAGGATGCGAAATGACAGAAAAAAGCACAGATTTTGTCAAAACTCAGGAGGGAAAAAAAACTTTTTTACTTACAGAACAACAATTGTACAACACACTCATAGAATGAAAGTTGTCATATTTTGCTTTTTATTGAGAGAAATGGAGGTGAAGTGGAGGCAGTAGACGACTTGTATTCAGTAAAAGAGATTTATTTGGCCAAAAGCCACATGAAGTATCTCTGCAAAGCCTTTGGTCACAGAGCGACAGTCATCATACAACTCATTTATGGACACTTCTCTGTGTTTCAGCCTGTTATTCACAGAAATTTGTGTTTTATTCTGCAAAGCTGCCAGGCGAGCGCCCCTTCTAGTGGGGGAATAGATAGTCGTAAAATAACAAACGAGCCTTTTTTCATTTCTGTTTTAAAGTTATTTTCTTTCTTTTTGCTATCTGAAACAGAAAATGAAACTCAAGTCATTTTAAAAAATTTGTTCATCCCTTTTTGACACTAAGAATGAGAAACGCTTTATATTTTAATTTTAATTTCAGTATTTTAAAACAAAAATCAAATAGCTACTTGTTTCTTGTTTTTTAACACCCGTTTCTAAAATGAAAATYCAATTAACAAAAGATACACTGACCCATAAACCCCTCTATCAAACTGGAACAAACCACTATGGAAGCTGGAGGGGGGCGGGGTCTTGAAGTGCCTCGTTTGGAGTTGATCTGAGACACACCCCAGAAAAGGGGCGGGGCTTGTTGAGTTACAATTTAGAGGAATTCAGACCAAAACGTTGCAGTTCCACTTTATATAGACCCCAACTGAAGGATTTAAATGTGAAAAAGRAAGATTTAAAAGCATTGAAGTTTTTCAGAATTAATCTGGGTTCAGATTATTTAAAGAAAGGAAAAAGAAGCGTTTCAGACCGGCTCATTATGTGGCTTTAGTTCATCCTAGGAGTGTTTTAAAATTGAATTTAGTTCTTTCCACTTGTTAGTCAAGTTTTCAAGAATCGCTTGGTCTAAAAAGTGTTTTATATTTTAAATATTTAGTTTGAATGTTTCTGAAACATTTTCTCCAATCGGTGCCTTTCCTCAGCAAATCATGAGAGATCGCTGGATTAACGGTGGAGATGATGGGGAGCTGGAGCCTTACCTGGAACCAGAGCTGGACATCAGAGACAACAGCAGGATTGGTACGTAAACACACACACGCACACACACACGCACACACACACACACACAGATGGCGGTGAGTGTTGACAGACATCTCTGTGCTCAGACCTGATGGCGCAGATGGGTTACTCCAGAGAGAAGATCAATGACTCCCTGTCGAAGATGAAGTACAACGACATCACCGCCACTTACCTGCTGCTTGGGCGCAGGGCTGCTGAGGTGAGAGCTTACCGAGGTAAACGCAGGTGAAACCCACAGACTCTGCAGAAACTAAGCGTGCGTGTGTGTGTGTGTGTGTGTGTGTGTGTGTGTGCGTGTGTGTGTGTGTCTCGTTCAGATGGAGGCGGGCGACTCCTCCTCACTTCTGAAGCCTCGTCCTTCCAGCAGCAGCAACAGCCAGTCTCCTGCTCACCTCCTCAACCAGCGAACCTCCTCTTCCTCCGGCTCCAAACAGAGGAGGTACAGCGATCAAGGTACGAGCCAGAACCAGAACCGCCTCTGTTAGCGGGACCACACCTGAACTAACTTCCTCCACTTCTCCTCAGTGTGTCCCGTTTCCTCCACGGCTCCTCCTCCCAGGAGGAACCAGGCTGCCGGAGATGGGGAGTCGAAGCACGAGGGCGGAGGTCAGAACAAGAAGTCCAGTCCCGTCGAGGCCGGCAGTCCGCTGCTCGGCAACGCCAACAATCCCAACAAGAGCGACATCCCCGAGCGCAGGAAGGCYTCGGCCACGCCCCCTGTGAGTACCTGCCAGGCAAACAGGAAGCGGCGTACAGGAGTGGGYGTGGCTTCCTGCAGCGAATCACATTCTGTCTCTGTGTTGCAGACGTCGTCATCCAGCATGACGAGGAGGAACACGTACGTGTGCAACGAGAGGAGCGCCACAGATCGAACGCCAGCGGTCCACAACGGCAAAGAGAACAGGTAGAGTCCACCCGCTGATCTGTGTCGCCCCCTTCGATCCACAGACGTGTAATTCACCTCCCCCTTCTCCGCTCAGCTCTTTGACCACACCCACCCAACGCTCTGTGGGCGGAGCCTCCACCCACAGTGTCAGCAGCGGAGCCACACCTCCTGACCGGCTTCGGTTTCCTCGCGGGACAGCGAGCCGTAGCACCTTCCATGGAGGACAGCTCAGAGAGAGACGCACCGCCACCTACAACGGGCCCCCCGCCTCCCCCAGCCTGTCRCATGATGCCACGCCTCTCACCCAATCACGGTCCAGAGGCTCCACAAACCTGTTCTCCAAATTCACCGCCAAACTGACACGAAGGTACGGAAGAGAGCTTTGTTCTTATTTCACTTCATATGGATGAAATATTTTCACTTGAATTAGAGCGAATGTCTCTGAATTAAGGCACAGTGTGTTTGTATCGACGCACAGTGTGTTTGTATCGATGCAGTGTGTTTGTATCGATGCAGTGTGTTTGTATCGATGCAGTGTGTTTGTATCGATGCA